TCTGTGTTTTGTATTTTTCAAGATATGTGCATTCTTGCTCAGAGCAAACACTGTAAAATACTAGTTTAAATAACTGGGTTTAAATTATGTCACACGTAACCATGTGGAAGGTGCCTGAGAGCTGAATGGCACTGGCAGAGCCGAACATTCCACAGCCTGGAAGCAAAAGGCCAGAGATACCTGGAGGGAGAAGAACTGCTGTGCTACAGAGGGCAGTGAAAAGCCTATCGTTGGATTCAGTACAGATCAACGGTGTGACAATGACACTGGGTGGCATTCAGGGGCACCACCACTTCAAGGGTCCTTTTGGCAGACAGGCGAATGCGCTACATGCAAATGCTCCCTGGCTTAAACAAGACCCAGGCAAGGCTGGAGTAGGACAGGCAGCTTCAGGAGAGATCCACTGCTCTCAGTCCCACACTTGCACATGCTCTCTCGCTCGCCTGCTGCACCAGTCCACACCCCAATGCAGGGAGAGGGCAACGTTGGAGAAAAAGGCACTTGTCTACTGAGTACTACCCATGCACCCTGCCTGTGGTTCCCAGAAAAACCTGGGATGGGATCCAGAGCTTTCTGACTCTCCCAAAGAGGATTTCAGCCCTCTGAAATCACAGTGTCTGTAGAGCAAGGATTGCTTAATTTCTGCTCTGAGGAGTAGCCCCAATACTTGCCTTGGCTCCTGCCTGCACTTTTTTTCTGACCATCCCTGTTCTACTCTATGTAAAAGCTGGAGCCACAAGACTCCTGTTCACTTTAGTTGTGTAACCCTGAGCCTTGCTCAGCCACCTTTTCCTGAGAGGAGCTCTCCCCCAGTGTTGCTTCCTCTCCTGTTTAAGCACAGCTCCCAGAGCTGCACGAGGAAGAACAAGATGAAGTTTGGCCTCTTGTGCTTTTCTAGAAGCTATCTAATCGGTTTCCATGGACTTTGTCTCAATCTCAGTGATAAAAATATCACAAATGCTGGGAGTTCCTGCTGCTTTGTCTTCCTTATCATTTTCCTCAGTGACTTTTGTCCCACAGAGGGAGAGTGCAGAGTCATGGGTGAGAGAGCTCCTCTCTGCAGGTAGGGATGTCCGTGTTTCCTGGCACGGAGATAAAGAGCACAGCGACTCGCCCGACTGGAAAGAAACCCTTACACAAACCAGAGCCCAGAAGGATGCTCAGCAGAGAGAGGCCAAGCTGCTCTGGAAAACGTGAAACTGTGTGAAAGAACAGGGAGCAGGTCAACAGAGCAAGAGAGAATAGGGCTGGGAGCTGCACACAGTCATTGCTCCTACCATGGGCAGTTGCATGTCTCCAAGTTTTAGAAAGGGCTTTGCTTGGCTGAGGGTCAGAAAGTCCTATTTGTCAATTTCAAAGTGCTTTGGAAATAGTAAGCATCAGCATTACCCTAATAGAGCCCTGCAGGGTGTATTTTCAAAATGGCGAATTGCTGGCAAGCCTGTAATACCACAGAGGGGAAATCCCTGGAAATACTAGGCCAGTCTGGATACTACTTGCAAGCCAGTATAACCCTCTGAGTGTGAAACCCTCTCAGCCCATACAGCCTCCTGGATGATCTAAAGGTCTTTCCTGTTTCTCCCGCGGAGAGGCAGAAGGCACATCAGCATAATTGCTATGTGCTGCAGGCTGCTTGCCTCAATCATCTCTCTGCAGCCAGAGCAACTTAACATGCACTTAAGGGAAGCCCGGTAATCAGTGCATGTGAAGCACCTCACCGCATTATTGTGCTGGTGTCTTCTTGCCATGGGAGCAAGAGACCAGACCCTCTGTGGTCCTCCTGTGCACCAAGAGGCGGCCAGCCCCAGATGTTTCAAAGAGCAGCCGCTGTCCAGCCTCACCAGGGATGGGTACGCAGGTCCCCTTGGGTTTGAGCAGGAGGTTTAGCAGCAAGTTCCTCAGCAGCTGCCCAGACATCAGCCCACCAGCCAATTTTAATAGTGGCTATCATTTTATTGTCAAAAAAGACTGCTGCTGTTTATAACTGGCAGATGGGAATATGTGGATGAGGTGGTGGGTTTGGGTTGTTTTGTTTTGTTTTGTTTTTTTTAATTGAAGCAAACACTTCAAGCAAACTTTCTTGGAGAAGGTTTATTTATGAGAGTGGAGGGCAGGATCTGGCCATTAAGGATCAGGAATCTGCTGAGTTCCCCTTGGACCAACCAAGAGCAGAAGGTAGGGAACTGATCTGGTACAGTCTCCCTCCACCCTGTTTATTCACAGAAGGTCTCTGTCATATCCTGTCACAACCCCCCCTCCAACAGTTTCCCCATAGAAATCCCTGCTGTGGAAATCAGGGCCCACCAGGGTGGGATAAAGACTTCATGCTGCGCAGTCGCTGTGGGCAAAGGAATACAAAACATCAGAGGCAGCAAACTGACCACAACCTATGAGGAACCTGCAAGGTCATGCGCAAAATCTACCTTAGCTTGCCGCTGAGGCAGCTGTCTCTCACTCCAAGACATGCCTGAGCACCTGCAGCTCACAGCACAGGGGCCTGCTCTGCACTCAAGTGAACCCCCCCCCCCCCCCCCCAAAAACACAGTCCACGCAGCACTCTGCCATCTGGCAGTCCAGACAGCCCCCAGGCAAGGGAGAACTGCCCTTGCATAGGAACCACAAACCAGTTCCAGAGACCAGCAGCCTGCCCAGTGCCAACCGACCTAGAAAGAGACTCACAGAAACCTGCCACAGTCAGACAACCCAAAATCCACTCATTATCCAACTATTAACAAATGCAGCAGACACAGAAACATTCAAAAAATTATCCATTACTGACATTTTCTGAGAAAGAAATCTGCTCAGAGGGGACAAACCAACATACTCAAGAGACAGGCAGAAATTACCCGGGGAAAAATCCCGCCACATCTGGAGACACCCTGACCTGCAGTCAGGAAACCCACCTGCTGCGCAGAGACAGCCAGCACCCAGGCTGATCAGTGGGACGGAGGTGAGCAATGCTGCCGGCCCAGCTGATGCAGCTGGCGCCAAGAGGGCAGTGGTCTCCCTCTCCCACCCAGACTTGCAAAACTACAGCACTCACGCAGAGCAGATTTGCCCCCAAGGAAGCGAGGTCAGGAGGAGGTCAGGGCAGAACTGGGGTGCAGGCAGCAGAATTGTCTGGCTCTTTGTCCAAATGTCTCAAGTGCCTGGGCCTCACATTTTGAATGTCTATGGCAGCTCTAAGGAGATGACGGGGTTTGATTTGTTGCTATGGCCTAATGGATTGAATGAATTTGAAATACCTCTCACTGATGGGAGCTATAGCTTGTCTGCAATAATGCTAATTCACCAAACAACATCAGCACAGATGAAAACACCTCTGTTTTGCCTTGTCTCCAAGAAGCAACCAGCTTCCCCATATCCTGCCTCCCATAGCTTTGCACTAGAGTTTCCTGAAATGCTCACACCAAAACATGAACTCCCTGCGTGTCTCCACCAGTCACTCCCTATCTCTGATCAAACCAGGAGAGATCAGAGCTCTCCAAAGAGTGCACAGCCAGTGGGAGAACAAAGGGAACAGCAGGGCTACACAGGCTGCTCCTTTGTTAACCCACCGGGGAGCCTGTGTTGCGAAGGTTAAAAGGCAGCAGACACCCAACCTCTACCCAAGTGTTCCCCGAATCCTCTGCAGAAATCACTTCACTTGAGCACCCAAGAGGCGAGAAGAGGTTAAGCTTGTCCAGGCAAATTCCCTTTACAGGGACTGCAGCAAACACAGTGCCTTCTCAGGAGGTGTAAGTGAACAGGGGGGATCAGGAACAGCCAGGATGCTGCAGGGCTGTTTTTCCACAGTTTTTTCACACTCCAGAGCAAGACAAGGAGGGCACCACTCCCTGCAGGGTGAACAATGGATGTTCAGCCAGACACCGCACATAGCTGCCCTCCCCAGGCCACGGGGGACTTGTTTGCAAAGTGCTGTCATCATTACATATCCCTTCGCAAGGCCCTGTCTTCGTCCCTGATAGAGCTGTGGCACCAAAGCCAGACCCACGGGAAGAAGCAGTCCTCCAGAGCTGTGCTGCCTGGAAGTAAGCCCCCCTCCAAGGATTTGCCCTGAAGGGGGAACTTGCATCGCTGTCAGAGAGGATGGCCCAGATGTCGCGTATGTGGCTGTCATCGCGCTCCTGCGCAAGACGCGACCTGCCCTGACATCAGGCACCCCGCATCCCCACGACTCCAGCACAGCGGGGACAAATTCACCCACTCACACACAGACACGGCGACACCGATGAGGCTTCCCCCTGTACCATAAGCAAAGTTACACCGACGACAAGCCATGCCACCCGTCGGCACCGGCAGGCAGGGCTAGCCGGAGGCGGCACAGCCTTCCCGGGGAGGGTGGCACGATGCTGACCCCCGCCCGCCCCAACTCGGCAAGAGGGCCTGTTGCTCCGTGCACCGGCCGCGCACCGGAGAGCGGAGCCCGGCCCGCTGCAGACTCCCCCCGGGACGGCGGGCTCCTACTGAGGGCCGGCTGTCGGTCTGTCCCGCTCCGCACAGAAACACATTTCCACCCCACCCCCCCACCCCCCCCCCCCACGCCCCTGCAGTCACCTGCAGGAACAGCCCAAGGGCAGGGCGCTGCTGGGGAGACAGAATTCTGACCGGGGAGGGCGCGACCAGCCAGCGGCTGCCCCGACCGCGGCCAGCGGGGGAGCCCCGCTCCCTCTCCCGCTGCCCGCCGCACACGCCCGGGGGTGGATACCCGAGGCCCGCGGCACCGGGCGGCCGCCGCATCCCCACGGCCGCGGGTGGCGGCGGCTCCGCACAAAGCGGGGTGGGGCCGACGGGGGTTTGCGGCACCCCGAGCGCACGGGGTGGGGAAGGCACCCCCCCCACCCACCCACCCACCCTCCCTCCCTCCCTCCCTCCCTCCCCGGCACCGCCGAGCTCCGCAGGCCACAGGCTGTGGCAGGTGCCACGGCCGGCCCTGCCCACGCACGTCCCGGCCCCACGGCACCCCCCCCCCCCGCCCCCCGCCATCCCCGGACTCGTACCTTGCCGCTGGCCACGGGGGTCCGGCAGCGCGCAGAGAGAGCGGCGGGGAGCCGAGCCTCGCCTCCCGCCTCGCCGCGCCACCCCGGCCTGCCCGCGGTCCCCGCCCCGGCCCGCCCCCCGCGCCGCGCCCCGCAGCCGGGAGGTGCCGGCGGGGCTCGGGGGCTGCCCGGGCGCCCCCCGCCCCGCCTGAGCCCCCAGAGCTCCGGGGGTGCCGTCCCGAGGCGGGGTCCGGCAGCGCGGGCTGTGCCCAGCCCCTGGCCGCGGTCTGCCGGGGGGGTGGGGGGGGAAGCCGGGGCGGGGGGAGCGGTGTTTGCTCCGCCGGGGCCAGGAGAGCTGTCCCGAACTAGCCAAAGGGGTGTTCCGTACCACAGGACTTCATGCGCTGAATACAGACCGGGGGGAGTTAGCTGGAGGGTGGGATTGCTGCTCGGGCATCGGTCAGCGGGTGGTGAGCAACTGCGCTGTGCATCACTTGTATTTTCTTAGGTTTTATTTCTCTTTTTTTTTTAATACTGCTTTTCATTACGATAATTATTGTATTATTATTATTATTACATTTTACTTTTTAAACCATTCTTATCTCAACAAACAAGTTTTACTTTTTTTTTTTTTTTTCCAATTTTCCTCCTCATCCCACTGGGAGGGGGGAGGAGGAGTGAGCGTGTGGTGTGTAGTTTCCTGCTGGGGTTAAACCACAACAGCCCTGTAACTCTGCCATCCCACATCCTCAAGTGCCAGAAATCAGGCCAGAGGCAGGCCGGTGTCACCTCTGGACACCTCTTCCCAGCCTGCGCAAATTAATGAAAAGTGGAAAGCTACCACCGCAGACAGCAGAGTTCGTTGTGGGGGGGTGGGAGACTGAGGGCAGCACCATCCCACACCAGCGTGGGCCCACGGCTAGCCAGCAACCACACACAGCATTGCAACCTGCAGCAAGCTGCTGGGAAGAGCGGAACCGGCACTTTTTGTGGCTGCTCTGTGTTGCAGGAGCTACACTGATGTGGGCACATTCGTGGTACTTGTGCACCTCTCACCTGGCTGGGGGGCGGCTCCCAGGGAGCAGCTGCAGAGGTGGATGAGATGAGACGGAAGGAAAATAGCTTTCTGCTTGGTGATACGCCTTGCAACCCTAGGAAGGGCATGACCAGTTTGCAGACACAGTATCTGCAAGTCAATTTACTTTAAGGCTATGTCGCACCGGTGCACAGCCCAGTACATCTGCACTGAAGAGGAGGTGCACTGTACTCTGCTTTATCCCACTCTGCCGAGGACAAGGGGCCTGACATGCCCGTGGTAGGTTTTGATGGAGCCGTGTGAAGTATGCCACTGATTAGTTATACCCAATTAGCATCGTATTCAACAAGAACTTCCGTAGTTCCCACCCCTCCTGCTCTAATTATTTCCAGCCCTGCAAAGTTCAGTACCACTGACTGTGCCACATGGATGGGGGTGAGTGGCACCGGGGGGTAGGGTAGAAGCTGGGCCCACACAACACCCACCAGCTTCAGGGACTGATTTAAAATGCCGTTATGATGGCAGTGTCAAAACTGGAAGTCTTTTCAGAGTCTGTGGCGTCAGCATTCCCCCTCAACGTGCAGGAGCTTCTATCATGTTGAAAAATGTTAAATTATAGGAAGATGAAGCAAAAAATGTCAGTTGGTTTTAACTTCCTTTTGGAACTCTTCCTCCAGGCAAGATGCTGCCATAAACAATACTTCTGTACTAACAGAATCAATTTATAAAAGGAAAAATAGAGGTATTATTTTCAGCAGGAGGCTGTGATGTTCTGTGATGTTGGGCTGAGTACTATTTTTTCCCAAGGGACACTGAAACTGGATTTTACTTACCTTGGATGTTGCCTCAAAGCTTCCTACCAGCTTGACATCAAAACATGCGAAAGAGGTTCTGTGTTATGAAAATTAAGCTTAAAACCAGAGCAGCTACTGATCCACCAGCTGGAATCTCAAAGCCAGGTTTTGAACTTGGCAGGAAGACATCAGTTTGTATGAAAAAATAGGGACTTTGTCTCAATGGTAGTGGACCATGTGCCTAAAGCAAGCATCTGGCTGCAGAGGGACAGGGGACTACTCACCCCAAATGTCCTTGCCACAGTTAGCAACATCTCCTCTTCCACTAACTAACCTGGTGTGCTGTCCTCCTCTCTGGAGAGGTCCTGAGGCTGAGCAGAGAGCACACAGGAGCATTCTCACAATTTAGCATCTCAGTGCGGCCTTGCAGCCCCTCACTGAAATCCAGGAAAAGGGTTAAATTACCTCAGAGGGCATTAAGTTATATCAGCTCCACCACTATGGCCCTGGCATGGGAAAGCGGTTTGTCTTCTTGCACCTGGCACATGCGTAAGCCAGACAGCTAATATTCTGTAGAAAAGCTCTTAGCACTGAGAAATGGCTGGAGAGGTCCCAGCTTTGAGTCAGGCCACCAAAGTCAGCTCTTAAATGGGAGGAGAGCCAGCCCCGGGTCTTGTGTCTGTGACGGTGGCAGGAGGTTGCCCAGCCTGCAAGCTGGAGGAGAAACACAGCACTGTGGGATAACTCCAGCTACAGGGTGTTGTTGCTTCCCACTCATGTGCAATGCCTGGGCCCTCAGCTCTTTCCTTCACCCAGGATGAGAAGCTTGTGCTTGGGACAAACACTAACCCAACACCGCAGCACCCTCCCTGGAAATGCCTCTTTCTGGGGCAGCATGCCAGGATACAGGAGTGGATCGAGCGTCTCTGCTGCACACTAGCGCTTTTGCATGCAAGGGCTTAGCTGCAGCATATAGAGGTAATGGTGGTCCAGAACAAAGATCGTTCCAGCCCAATACCACCCAGGGCCAAAAAGGGGTGAAGAAGGGAATCCTCCCAGCCTCTGCCTGTTTGCAGCTCAGGGACTTAGTGAGCCAGCAGTGGCTTTCTGTGTGTTTGGCCACCACCCACCAATTTATCCTCCAAAAACCATATAAACTCTTGGTGGCCCCAAAGGCTGCAATGTGCTGATCTACAGATTAATTGCATGTTCTCGGGGGGTAGGGGCAGGAAGATCTAAACCATCCTTTTTAGGGTTCAAGCTGGTATCCCAAGGTTTAGATTAACGCAGAGACAGAATGCTTAATTTAACAAGTAATGTTATGCATACAGCAAAGCTCAGTGAAGGCTGACGCTGGGGTGGAAAGGCACCTGTTTTATCCACAGGCGCCAGGACAGGCAGAGGGAGCTACTGGGCAGTGCAACCAGGTCAAACTGTTTTCCAGCAACAACCGTTGGCTGTGGCAGCACAAATTACCCTTGTGCACTTCATGACGGGGTAACCTCTGTTCAAAATACCCCTGGCACTGACTGATATTCACTGCAGGTCTTGCAGAGGCCCAAGAGACTTGTGTAGGGCTAATCTAACCTCTGGGCGCAGCTGGCATCTTGTGACATGAGTTCACTGCTTTTCAGTAGCCCTGAAGTTTGTGGAGCAGAAGGGAAATGGAGTAGGGTCCATGAGACCATGCTAGCTTGGCTCCAAGATGCAGGTTTGCACAGGCCTTGCAGATATTCCTGCATCCGCCACATTTTAGTAAAGAATGACTGCAAGTGACTGGTTGGTAGTATGACCAAATGGCCCTCAGAGAATACACGTGGAGCAAAACCAAGAGCTGGTGAAGACACAACAGAAGAGAAACTTCTAACAGCCCTGAGATGTCCTTCCCTTCTGATTTCAATTAAAAATTATTTTCAGAATTTCCCATCAGGGACAAGAGCTTGGTCCTTATACCTTCTTCAGAAAAGTTTATTTTTTAACGGGTCATTATATACCACATATACAAATGTTTATTTATATGCTTGAGACATACATCAGGCTATGGTTTGGTCTAATAATGCACATTCCAAATGCCTTTTTCAAAAAACAAATGGGCAGGAAGGAAGAAAAAAATTGTAAGCCACTGCAAAAGGATCTAGGGAAAATACAACTGTAAGCATACTTCTAATTTCCATGGTTTTGATTTAAAAGATAATGCTTTTCAAAAGTCCGTAACAGTAGCAAAAATCTGCATTTGTGTGCACCCTTAACAGTATGAGTAAATTAGATTAGCAATATCATCTGTAAAGAAAAACCTTCTGCCTTTTGAGCTTCTCTAGCTAGGTAGCATCATTTTAAAAAATGGTGCATTTTTTCCAAGATATTGTGGTAAGACTCCAGTAACATTTTCTTCTCATCCTGCACTTTAACAGTGCGTATAGCTGTCAGTGACACACAGGGGTTCTATCTCACTCTTGTCCACCTATCCACTCTCCTCAAAACCTCATTTCCACTTTGATTACTTCCATACTGTCTGGTTGGCCACCACAGCTCTCTCCCAGCTCAGACTTTTATAGTTCTTTGAAACTGGCTGATCTGTCCAGTTGTGCCTGAGGCAGACCACGTGTCTCAGGTGAAGAGGCTGGTGCTGTTTCCACTGGAGTCTGTAATCTTGGCTACAGCCCACCTGGCTGAGAACAGTACGAGCTATGAATGCTTCTTTACCCTTCCTCTGCAAGCACTGACAACTTTATACCACAAGACATTTAAAGGAGCCATCATCCACTGAATGAGCTTGAGTTCAAGGTCAGTCTAAAGCTGTAGAGCAGAGCTCTCTTTACAGTGGGGTCTGCTGCATGCTGCCAGTGCCAGCACTACAGGCACACCTGGAATAAAGCACTGCTCAGCCGGAAAGCAGGGCAGCAGGATCTGGCACCATGCTAAGGAGAAGAAGTTGTATTTATCTGAAGCACTTGACCCATTCTGGGTCTCTGGAGAACTGAGTTGCACAGGCAAGACATCCAGCCCAGGGGATGGGTGAGCCTGGGAGGCAGGGGAGGTGGCTATCAGACCCCATTCTCGGAGGTAGGCAGGGCATCTCTGTGTGCTAGACCCATGGAGGCCAGCTCCTTGGTTCAGGGGAAAAATAGTATTTTTCCTAAAGAATAACAAGCCACCTTTTGTGACCTAGTCCAAGTGGTTTGCAGGTTCACCCCAGAGTGCCATATTGCATGGGTCAAACACCTTCAATATTGCAAACTCCTACAGAAAAGGCTTCCTTACGC